ATGACAAGGTGGTTACATCCTATAAGTACGATTTATTCTTCCCTTATAAGTTTATTATTGATTAGTAATAATTTTTATCACTGATAACAATGTTACGTTAAATTTTTACTCAAAGTAATCAAAGTTTCGCAAAGATAAGAGTATTTCGTGACCATCAGACCAAATTTTTGGGAACTTCCGCTTGCCCTATCAGTTATACATCTAATCATATGGCTGAATTATGGGCTCTTCGCATTGGACTTAAAAAGCACTGACGCTAAATGGTTGCAAAAATCTAATTGTTGAATGTGATTCTAATCAAACCCGACATGCTTACATAGGCAACAAACAAGGATCCGCGAACATCAAGCTCTTCCGCCAAATTGCTTATAGCTTCCAGATGAATTCAACAGCATTCGGTTTATGTTTTACCTACCGAGAGTGTAACAACCCACATTTTATGTCCTAGTCATGTTTGCATACATTTGTATGTTTTGCCATGTTAAGATGCTGTAACAACCCATATTTATGTCTTAGTCACGTTCATGAGCATTTGTATGATTATGACTCGTTGAGCTTGCATTTGTATGTTTATGACTTGTTTTGCCTAAGTAAGATCCATGCCTTGTTTTGATGTCTATGTGATTTGTCTAAGTGTTGTGTGCTTGCTTTGTTCCTTCCTTGGTACCCCAAGCCTAAGTTATGTTTAGCCGAAGTCATGCCAAGCCTAGGTGATGTTACGCCTAGATCATTCCAAGCCGAGGTCATCTTCAGTCTAGAAGTGTCTTGGAACCCCTTTGTTTGACCTCCACCTTCGGCCTGGCATATTGGCCGAGATGTCATTATCTAGGCCGAGGTGTGAATCACCAAGGCCGAGATGTGTATCATCTAGGCCGAGATGTTACCTTTGCACTTGTGTGATCTTGTCCTGGAGTGGTATGACCTAGACCGAGGTGTGGTACATCTAGGCCAAGGTGTGGCACAGCTTAGTCAAGTGTCGTCCTTCCTAGCCGAGTTAGATACACTTTGTCATAGTCCTGTCTTGTCAACCTATCACCTTTTTGAAGAGAACCAACCAGCCGTTGCCACGTGTCCGAGCTGAGAGTTAAGTTAGCCGGCAGAGAGAGAAACCCATCATTTGTTCCTATACTTGTTTTGAAGAGTAGAGAGAGAAGCTCTAGAAGAGGGAGAGGAGTTCTTGAGAGGAGGTAGACTTCCAAGCTTGATCTATAGAGATCGGACCGTTAGATCCGTGTTCTAAGGTTACATTCTTGATCTGCTCATGTTGTTCTTTATGTTCACGTTATTGCATTGCATGATTGAATATGATTTGTAAGCCATTCATTGCTTTGAAGTTCGGTTTTAGAAAGAGAAAATGGCATTCATGTGTTCTTCAAGAAAAGTCATGTTTTGATCCGAAAGCTCTTGCCTAGATTCATGTTTTTGTGTTTGTTTCCACATGATTTTCAAGTATGGGTACCCAGGTCCATGTTTTCGAACTCATAGCATGAAATCCCAGATTTTTGTAGTAAAGAAGTTATGATTTTGGCATTCATGTTCTTCATGATCTTCATGTTCATGTTCTTCTTGTTCTTCACGGGTGGAAACCCAGATCTCCAGACCTCACTTCCTGAGGTGTAGTCGTCGAGATCACTCTTACCTAGACCTCACACTTAGGCCAAGCATCGTATCTCACCTTGGCCTACCTTGTATGGTCACTTACACCTTTAGTTTGTCTTGTGCGCACCTTGGCATGCAGCCACTTGCCGAAGCCTAGGTAGCCACACCTCGGCCAAGAGGTGTGGGACCTCGGCAAAGACTTGGTTGGTACCCAGCATGTCTTCCTGACATGTAAAACAGTGTTTTGACTTCCAACATGTTTTTCTGAGATCATTGCATGCATGTGATACCTGTTTTGAGAAGTGCATTCAGTATGCTTTGCCATGTGTTTGTAGGACTTGGACCTTTGCCTTGATCCCGACGTCCTAAGAACTAATGTGAGTGGTATTTTTAATAAAGTTATGTTCTTAAGGTTTTGATAAAGCTTTGCCTTGTTTTGATAAAAGTATTTGTTAAGCATGAATGATGTCCCTATTTTATGTATCAAGTATAAGCTTTGTTTTGGATGACATTCTTGAAAGTCCGTACGTGCTAGGGGACTATAAGCATTCGTAGCACACATGTGAAGTCCGTACGTGCTAGGGGACTATAAGCATTCGTAGCACACATGTGAAGTCCGTACGTGCTAGGGGACTATAAACATTCGTAGCACACATGTGAAAGTCCGTACGTGCTAGGGGACTATAAGCTTTTGTGGCACCTTTGTTTGTTCTAGGGGACTATAAACATTTGTAGCACACATGTGAAAGTCCGTACGTGCTAGGGGACTATAAGCTTTTATGGCACCTTTGTTTGTTTTGTCCGAGATGTCATCACCCCATGTTTTAAGTTGACGTATGTTAATCAAGTAAGTAAGTTTTGAAAGACCAAGGTTCGATTGATGTTTTATTTCAAGTCAAGCTAAGCTATGTTATGTATGGTTTTGACAAAGATATACTATGTATTGTTTTGAAAAGACCTCGGGAATCATTCATTTAACCTTTTTATTACTTGTACCATTCACTGAGTATCCAAGCTCACCCTCCCTATGTATATATGTAGGTAACAAGCAAGAAGTCGGCTACGCCGAGATGTGTGTTTCACAAGGTGTTTTGGGTGCATGTTTATGTCGGCAATCCTGAATATTATGTATCTTGACTTGTATTCCATGTATTTTGTTTATGTCAGCAATTTTGAAGCTTATGTGTTTTGAACATGTCGGCTTGAGAAGCCTTTTACCAAGATGTAGTATGTATTTTTTTGTATTTCATTGTATTTGTATTCAAGTTTCAAAGCTATGTAAAGATGTATACCATTCCATTTGACTTATGCACTGCTCTTATGGACCACTTGTATTTTAGATTATTGCTTCTGCACTTGTGAGCCCCCTATACCTATACTCTGATTGTGTGTGAATTTTGAAAGTTGGCCTTCGGTAATCTCGGATTACTGGCCATCACGGCACCAAACTACTAGGGGCGGTTTGGGGTTGTGACAGAGAGGGCAATCAAGTAGATGATACTCTTGTTTCTTTAGGAGTGGTTTGGAATGATCTAAATAAGTGTATTTTTTGACTTTTTATGAAATATGAGTTGGGTATGGGTTGGGTTTGAAATGATGTGACTTAATAACATGATGTAACTTAAATAAGATAGTGACTTTTTGACTTTTTAGCTTTTTTAGGTTATAACAAACATCAAAAAGAAATATTTTCCATTTTACTTAAATAGAATAGTAACTTTTTAACTTTTTAGCTTTTTTAGGTTTTAATAAACACCAAAAAGAAAATATTTTCCATTTTTAGTTTTTCAGCTGCCAATTTTTTAATTGCTAAAAACGTGACACTCCTTTTTGGCTTCCAATTTTTCAGTCGCCAAAAACTTTCATTTTTTAGCTACTAACTGTTTAGTCGCCAATAAGTTCCTTTTTTATTTTTTAGCTACTAAATATTTAGTCACCAAAAGCTCAACCTCTATTTATTAATTTTTTTAAAATGAAAAAATTGAATATTTTTCATTAATTTCTAAATTATATGCATTTCATCATCAAAGCAACCTATAACCTGTACGTATATAAAATAATACATCTATCAATTATAATCTAAATCTGTTAGGTTTTATTTCTTGGCAATCCCGTTTGACAAAACTCCTTTGAGTTGTAATTTTATTCGCTTTTTTATTTCAGTGAGGCTATGAGTTGTTAGATGCGAATCCAACCCGAATCAAGCCTTTCAGAGAAGTTTGTGATGCTAATGCTTTCAAGATTGCCACTTCACTGATTATAACGGGGATTGAGCTGCCCGATCAGCTCGGGGGGGTCGAGGAGGCAGCACCCCCGAAGCAAAATGCAAAAATACATTCCAAGTTGCCTGTCCACTCGAGCAGACATTTCCCCGCTCGAGTGGAGAATCCCTGGTTCCAGAAGTTTTGGTTGCCTGTAAAAGTACTGAGCTGTGTGATTTCGCGTTCGAGCGGGTTGTCTAGTGCTCGAGCGGACCTCTGTTATATCACGCGCATATTTTGCTGAAGACGCTCGAGCGGGCTGTTGGGCGCTCGAGTGGAGATTGCAGGACAGATTCTATAAATTCGCATGTTGGGTCAGATTTTAGGATTACTACTCCAGATCTTCTTTTTGGGTTCTAGGGTTTATATCTGGGGATACTTTGTGAGTTTTCTTTGATGTTTTGCTGGACCATCACGCTTTGAAACCAATTCGATGAAGTTAGAGGCATCCTCAACATCAAAGACTTGGAAACCATTCTGATAACCAAGTAAGAGAACTTGTTTGAAGGCAGTAGGACCAAATTCTAGTTTGTCAAAGCCAACCCAGGTTACCTGTTTATCAATAGAAGTTCAGAACTACATCCTGGTAAATGTAGTGCAATAGAAAACAAAGAGAAACAAATGCCAGAGGCAAAGAGTCATAAGTCCACCACCACCACTAACTCAGGTAAGTATGGTTTTGCAAAAATCAAAATCAACAATTGAGAGTATACCTGTGTAATTCCTTTAAATTTTCTTAGTGGATTGTTTTGTGGCTGTTGCCCGTGGTTTTTTAATCACAGTTGGAGGTGTCCAATTGTGGTTTTTTCCATGTTAAAATCGTTGTGTTGATTTGTCTTGATTGTTTGATTGGGATTGTTATATACTGCTTAAAATTGTTACATAATCACAAATCAATATCTAGGGGATTTCTAGATTTTTCAAAAACTTTAGAATCTAGAACTTTGGGATTGTTATTATTGATATTATTGATAAATTTTAACTTTAAAACAATTAAAGTTTTCAAAAACTTTGGGATCAACATGATCCTAATTGTTTTGGGATCAACAATTAAAGTTTTAAAACAATTGAAAACTTTAATTCTAAAACAACTTTTTAAAAACTTTAACTTGTAACATCATATTCGAAATATCATATAAATCCATATAAATCAAGTATAATCCATCTAAATTAAATAATACATAAAAAAAAAACACTGGATTTCCAAAACAAAGGATTGTTCCAAAATAAATGTCTTCCATATACAAAACAAATGCTCTTCGTACACATCCATAATAGCCCACGCAAAAGCAATCTATAAAAAAAGAAAAAAAAATAATAATAACCATTAGCACATATTCAGTAAAATTAATGTTTCAAATTATAATAATTATAAAATTAATAATTTAGATATATTATACTCTGCAAATTATAACAATTCTAAAATTAAAATTAATAATTTAGATATATTATACTCTGCATATAATCCCATCATGATCATTTTAATGTTTCTGCTTTGTTAAAAATTTATACAACCTCCAAATTGAACCTCATGTCTGCCTAGTAAACTCTAGTCTAACAATTACATGCAATGTTTCCAAAATTTTCTTTTCTCACCCGTATACAACATGATCCTAATTGTTTTAGAATCAAAATCCTTCAGTAGTTTTCATCAAATTTTGTTACTTTTGGCAATCTGCATTTTCACAAATCTTGAACATTGAAGGCACTACAGTTCCACAACCTCTAAGAGTCTAAATAATTAGTTTACCAAACAAAATGATTCCTCTTGTTGCTGCCACAATAGGCATTCATAAATAAGTAAACCTAAACTCCATCATAAATTATATCCAGTACCAGTTTTAACTAATGCAAATATCATCAAAGTACGAAATAAAAGAGGAAATAAGTTCAAAAAATAATTTTAGATATATGAGAAACAAATCAATGTAGTTCTTCCAACAATCTTACCAATCTACCTGATTCTTCCTTCATAAATTTCTCTTGCAATGATGAATAAGTTTTTCTCAGCTCTATAATAATTGAATTCAATTCCTCTTCCTTCGCCTTTATTAGCATCTCTAAAGAGAAAGCAAATTAACCTACATTAATGACCAGTTCAAATCTTCTATGGACCCCATTAAAGCAGAACAAAGCAATCATACCCATATCAGAGCATTTCTTCTCTGCCATTTCTAGCAAATTCCTTAGCTTCTCTTGCTCCAATAGGTAGCTCCCTTCAAACTCTTGGAGCCATTTAATACAAAGCCTAAGCCTTTTAATATACTTCATCATTTGGTCAAATTTCTCCTAAAAATTCATCAAACACTTCACATAATAAAACATAAAAACAAAAAACAAACCCTAATTGTTTTATCAGTGAAATTAAGTTAAAAGCTCAAAACGCACATACCTTAAGATTGAATTCGTTCTTTGTTTTCATCTTCTCATTCAATAATCCCTCAACTTCCTCTCTTGTAAACTCAACACTACCACAATCAGAACCAACATTACTAGCCAGCCCGTTAGCCGGAGCAAGATCTTGACCGCCATTGACAACCGAGAAGGCCAATAATCCCTCAACTTCCTCTCTTGTAAACTCAACACTACCACAATCAGAACCAACATTACTAGCCAGCCCGTTAGCCGGAGCAAGATCTTGACCGCCATTGACAACCGAGAAGGCCTGCCGGGTTCTGCTTCCATTCGTTGGCCCTACCATTTTCGAAAACCCAATTTTTCACCACTTATCTACCGAAACTTACTAAACATTTACTCTACAACAAATCAACAAAAAAATTCAATATACGGCGACCGCGAGGAGGAGCGGCAAAGGCACGATTGGTGGAGCGGCAGTGAGAGAGAGAGGGGATAAGAGCAGCGGAGAGGGAGGGGGAGAGGGAGAGGAAAAGAGAGAGAAACGTTGAAGAGAGAGAGACAGAGGCACTGGTTTGTGATTTGTGGTTTGGAAACCAAATATATATATCTATATAATAAGGAAGAGTGGTTTTTGAATTTTGATGGGATTGTTGTCCCTGTGTCAAAATGTGAACCGTTAGATTGAATCAATCCAACGGCTGAGAAATGTCCAAGAGAAGAGTTTCTTTGTTTTGAGATCTCATTCAAGAGCAGATCTTTTCTTCCCTTCCATCTCTCTCTCTCTCTCTCTCTCTCATTCAAGCGCAGATCGGCGACTTCGGTAGCCTTGCTAGATCGGTAGGTCCAAATCGGCATCATCGCGGCAACAAATCGGTGAGGTTCACTATATTCAAAAAGGTCAGTTGAATGGCATCATCAAACGAGAGACGAGGCGGAAGAGAGAGCACAGAGCAGCGACGATTTGGCTTCTATTTCATCAAGGGTGAGATTTTTTTTTCTCTATCTCTCATAGTTTGTGTTTTTTTGGTTAATTAATTAGTGTGTTTGAAATCTGCAGGAAATGAATTGGTTTCCACTATTGGTTCCTCGGTGGAGCTAGGAATTGCATCTCAGGTATTACTAACTGCTTTTACACTTGGACATTATTGTATTAAAAGTAGTTATGCTCTCCTTTTCATTTATCAAATCCTTTTTATAGAGTAGATTATTCCATGTGTATGTGTTCATTCATTGCTTCCATCAAAGGTAGTTAAGTACTTCACAGATCCAAATGCCATTGAACCACCAGATATGCAGATTTTATTCCCATTTGTGGAGTCTGCTCTGCCCCTGGTATGATCTCCCCCCATTTTTATCATTTCTGATAAACAAAAGACAAAAAATGAAATTGGGTTGAGCTCCTCATTTTACCATCCAGATTGAATGATACAAATATTTTATTCTGTAAAATCTACTGAAAAGAGTATCCAATGAAATAGTTTATTAAGTTTATTGAACAATGAAATTCATATAATTGGATTACATTTATCTTATAAAATAAATAAATAAATTACCTATATTAAAAATTATATTATCCGTTCAATTTTCTTTGATCAAATTAATCAAAAATTTTATACGAACTATTTTGTGGATAAACCCTACAAATGAATGGTTGTTTCAAGCACTAGGTGAGCCTCATAGTGGGTATGTTAATTAAGTAAACCAACCTCCTGCCCATGTTTGGAAAAATTGTGATTTTTAAATTTTTTTTTTAAGGTATTGTTTGAGTAGTATAAAATGTGATTGTTATAATAGGGACCAAATGGTTTGAATGCTTTGTTGAAGTGTTGATCACCATTATTTTGAGGTTTCATTCAACAGTGTAACAAGACTTGTATGTGCAAGTTCTAGAACTCAATTCTTCCTGTGAGGTTTCACCCATCTCTTAAAGACTTCTCAAAAACAATGTTTCCCTTATGTGTTCTTGATTGGTATTCAAAGGGTCGATCTATCTCAGCAATTTGATAAACATGGCTAGACCTCTCGCTTTCGAAGTGACTAGTGTCATTGCAACACCATCTTGCAATCTTATAGGTGAGAGATAAGAATGGCAAAAGCTCCTTACTTTCCCCTTTTCAGTTCATAAGCACCACGAAAGTATCAGGGGGACTCCGGTTTCAGCTTGAATCGCCAGAGTTTCTAGCAAACCAACCAAAATAAACACGTTATACATGGTGGGATGCGTGAGGAGGTTACTGCATAAGCAGCTCTGTTCATGGCTTAACACTAAGCCAGCTTTAAGAGCCAAAAACAACTTGGTGAAATACTTAATCAATGGCATAATACATTTCCAAACTCAGGTTTATAGGTACGAACATATCTACAGCCAAAAGTGCTTTTACACAACTCAGAGCAATTTCAGGCTTGCTCAAAACCATGTTCAGTCATTAAAATGAAGAGGAATAGTTCTCAATTATGTAATAGTGGAAAGATCAACAACATAAATGATACAGCAGCACAAACATTTAATGTTATGTTGTTCAGTGCACACAGATGACCAAAGCTATAGCTATTTTTTGTAGTAGGTTCTTAGGTGCTACACTACTCACTGGCCTTGTAGGCCAAATGGTATTTGGTTGGTCTCTCAACTTTGATGTGAGGGGCTCAATTCTTGTTGTCTTGCCTAGTCAACAAAAGAAAAAATTCCTACATATTGCCTTACTTTTGTGACCTAATTATACATCTGAAAATAAGAGGAATTATTTAAATCTGACTAGGTCATGAAATAATCAACAGTTTGCAATGAGGCTATATGGCATAGGTGGTCATTTGGTTTGAAATGTTCAGTTCTTCCAGAGAAAACCTTTCGAATCATAGTGGTTATTTGGTTTGAATGCTTTGTTGAAGTGTTGATCACCATTATTTTGAGGTTTCATTCAACAGTGTAACAAGACTTGTATGTGCAAGTTCTAGAACTCAATTCTTCCTGTGAGGTTTCACCCATCTCTTAAAGACTTCTCAAAAACAATGTTTCCCTTATGTGTTCTTGATTGGTATTCAAAGGGTCGATCTATCTCAGCAATTTGATAAACATGGCTAGACCTCTCGCTTTCGAAGTGACTAGTGTCATTGCAACACCATCTTGCAATCTTATAGGTGAGAGATAAGAATGGCAAAAGCTCCTTACTTTCCCCTTTTCAGTTCATAAGCACCACGAAAGTATCAGGGGGACTCCGGTTTCAGCTTGAATCGCCAGAGTTTCTAGCAAACCAACCAAAATAAACACGTTATACATGGTGGGATGCGTGAGGAGGTTACTGCATAAGCAGCTCTGTTCATGGCTTAACACTAAGCCAGCTTTAAGAGCCAAAAACAACTTGGTGAAATACTTAATCAATGGCATAATACATTTCCAAACTCAGGTTTATAGGTACGAACATATCTACAGCCAAAAGTGCTTTTACACAACTCAGAGCAATTTCAGGCTTGCTCAAAACCATGTTCAGTCATTAAAATGAAGAGGAATAGTTCTCAATTATGTAATAGTGGAAAGATCAACAACATAAATGATACAGCAGCACAAACATTTAATGTTATGTTGTTCAGTGCACACAGATGACCAAAGCTATAGCTATTTTTTGTAGTAGGTTCTTAGGTGCTACACTACTCACTGGCCTTGTAGGCCAAATGGTATTTGGTTGGTCTCTCAACTTTGATGTGAGGGGCTCAATTCTTGTTGTCTTGCCTAGTCAACAAAAGAAAAAATTCCTACATATTGCCTTACTTTTGTGACCTAATTATACATCTGAAAATAAGAGGAATTATTTAAATCTGACTAGGTCATGAAATAATCAACAGTTTGCAATGAGGCTATATGGCATAGGTGGTCATTTGGTTTGAAATGTTCAGTTCTTCCAGAGAAAACCTTTCGAATCATAGTGGTTATTTGGTTTGAATGCTTTGTTGAAGTGTTGATCACCATTATTTTGAGGTTTCATTCAACAGTGTAACAAGACTTGTATGTGCAAGTTCTAGAACTCAATTCTTCCTGTGAGGTTTCACCCATCTCTTAAAGACTTCTCAAAAACAATGTTTCCCTTATGTGTTCTTGATTGGTATTCAAAGGGTCGATCTATCTCAGCAATTTGATAAACATGGCTAGACCTCTCGCTTTCGAAGTGACTAGTGTCATTGCAACACCATCTTGCAATCTTATAGGTGAGAGATAAGAATGGCAAAAGCTCCTTACTTTCCCCTTTTCAGTTCATAAGCACCACGAAAGTATCAGGGGGACTCCGGTTTCAGCTTGAATCGCCAGAGTTTCTAGCAAACCAACCAAAATAAACACGTTATACATGGTGGGATGCGTGAGGAGGTTACTGCATAAGCAGCTCTGTTCATGGCTTAACACTAAGCCAGCTTTAAGAGCCAAAAACAACTTGGTGAAATACTTAATCAATGGCATAATACATTTCCAAACTCAGGTTTATAGGTACGAACATATCTACAGCCAAAAGTGCTTTTACACAACTCAGAGCAATTTCAGGCTTGCTCAAAACCATGTTCAGTCATTAAAATGAAGAGGAATAGTTCTCAATTATGTAATAGTGGAAAGATCAACAACATAAATGATACAGCAGCACAAACATTTAATGTTATGTTGTTCAGTGCACACAGATGACCAAAGCTATAGCTATTTTTTGTAGTAGGTTCTTAGGTGCTACACTACTCACTGGCCTTGTAGGCCAAATGGTATTTGGTTGGTCTCTCAACTTTGATGTGAGGGGCTCAATTCTTGTTGTCTTGCCTAGTCAACAAAAGAAAAAATTCCTACATATTGCCTTACTTTTGTGACCTAATTATACATCTGAAAATAAGAGGAATTATTTAAATCTGACTAGGTCATGAAATAATCAACAGTTTGCAATGAGGCTATATGGCATAGGTGGTCATTTGGTTTGAAATGTTCAGTTCTTCCAGAGAAAACCTTTCGAATCATAGTGGTTATTTGGTTTGAATGCTTTGTTGAAGTGTTGATCACCATTATTTTGAGGTTTCATTCAACAGTGTAACAAGACTTGTATGTGCAAGTTCTAGAACTCAATTCTTCCTGTGAGGTTTCACCCATCTCTTAAAGACTTCTCAAAAACAATGTTTCCCTTATGTGTTCTTGATTGGTATTCAAAGGGTCGATCTATCTCAGCAATTTGATAAACATGGCTAGACCTCTCGCTTTCGAAGTGACTAGTGTCATTGCAACACCATCTTGCAATCTTATAGGTGAGAGATAAGAATGGCAAAAGCTCCTTACTTTCCCCTTTTCAGTTCATAAGCACCACGAAAGTATCAGGGGGACTCCGGTTTCAGCTTGAATCGCCAGAGTTTCTAGCAAACCAACCAAAATAAACACGTTATACATGGTGGGATGCGTGAGGAGGTTACTGCATAAGCAGCTCTGTTCATGGCTTAACACTAAGCCAGCTTTAAGAGCCAAAAACAACTTGGTGAAATACTTAATCAATGGCATAATACATTTCCAAACTCAGGTTTATAGGTACGAACATATCTACAGCCAAAAGT